GTGTGTTTTGTTTGCTTTCTCCCCTTCACCCACATTTGGCATTTCTCCCCAGGCTATCTCTCCCCACCTCCCCCTCCCACTGGCCCTCCCCTTTCCCCCCCAATAGACCCCAGTGTTTAGTACTCCCCTCTCTGTGTCCATGTGTTCTCATTTTTCATCACCTGCCTATGAGTGAGAATATGCAGTGTTTCATTTTCTGTTCTTGTGTCAGTTTGCTGAGAATGATGTTCTCCAGATTCATCCATGTCCCTACAAACGGCATGAACTCATCATTTCTGATTGCTGCATAATATTCCATGATGTATATGTGCCACATTTTCCCAATCCAGTCTATCATCAACGGGCATTTGGGTTGATTAAATCCCATTTCAGCCATATATTTTTCATCAGTTACATAAGCTCTCTAAACTTCACTTGCAACATTTATTGTAAAAATATCTCTGTCTTATTTTTTATGATCAAAAGAATAATGCATCTAAACTATGGTGGTGCCTCAATGAAAACAGGCCATTGTCAACTGTATATTTTCTTGTTTTTGCTGATTTATATTTTCTGGTTTATCTAGATAATTAAAGTATTTCTGATGGTTGGCTAGTAGAATTGTTATTTTATATGGATTACTTTAGTGAATGCCTAAGAAAAAATTTCTAAGGGAACTGTCGAAGGAGTCTTGAAAATTCAATTAAACTCTTTTGTTGTCTTACAGTAGACTAATGCCTAATCCAAGCTTCTCAAAGTAGGCACTATTGACATTTGGGGCCAAATAAATCTTTGTTCTGGCGGGGGCTGTCCTGTGCATTCTAAGATGTTTAGCAGCATCCTTGGCTTCTATCTAGTAGATGCCAGAAACAGTCACTCCCTATCTGCCTTCAGTTATGACAAATAAAAATGTCTCCAATGTCCTAGGAAGGGGGAGTGAAATTACCCCCAGCTGAAAACCCTTCTCTAAGCCATACAGCAGGCCCAGGATGATTTCATCATCTGGAAACCTGGTAACAACAGCCTATCCCAGTGTTTGCGGACTCTGATGGTTGGGATCTTTTTCATATGCTGCATATTTCTCCAATAATAAAATTATATTTTCTTCTTCAGTCCTCTTATTAAACTAATGACGATTAAACTTTCTGTGACTAGTGTCAAACTCATTCTGCAGGCTTGCTTTTCGCAAGAACTCATAACTTAAGTGATCTCAATACTTGGATATTAGATAATCAGGAATACATTAATCATGTCTTTCTCTATATTATTTGCATTTTCTGGTAATTATAGACTAATGAGCATGCCCTTTATGTGATATTTTAGTTCACATATACCTTCATAAATATTTCAGCTCTGTGGTAATTAAGTAAATTGAACATTATTAATTTAAAATGCAGTCCATGGATGTAGCTAAAAAATATTTTAGAAGTAGCATTTTTTAACATCCTAATACTCTTTGAGTAAAATTGCCTATGGAATTTTTTTCCAAAATTAATTCCCAAGGAAGTAAAACTAAGTAGCTTTCTAATAACAAGAAGCTGTAATCATATAATTATATACACAGGGTATATTTGCTATACATCTGATTCTGTTATTCCTTATAGAAATGCATATAAAAAGAAGTGCTGAGTAGAATCTTTCTGAAATCATTTCACATGTACAGTAATTTTTTTGCAAAGCTATAATTTTATTATTTCATGAAAATCATAAAGATAGCCTTGAAAATTTTAAATTGTAATCATGTCAAAGAAAGCTCAAAGGTGAAACATTTTTTGATGAAGAATTAACCACATTTTTAGAAAGATCATGTGCTTCTCTAGTAAATTATTTTCCTGATGCCTAACAATTTAAAAAAATGAATCGGTGGCAGGGCACAGTGGCTCACACCTGTAATCCCAGCACTTTGGGAAGTCAAGGCAGGTGGATCACAAGGTCAGGAGTTTGAGACCAGCCTGGCCTATATAGTGAAACCCTGTCTCTCCTAAAAATATGAAACCTTAGCCAGACATGGTGGCAGGCACCTGTAATCCCAGCTACTTTGGAGGCTGAGGCAGGAGAATCACTTGAACCCAGGAGACAAAGGTTACAGTAAGCCAAGATCACACCATTGCATGACAGCCCAGGTGACAGAATGAGACTGTGTCTCAAAAAAAGAAAATGAATCAACTTTTGGGCAAATAATATTACTCCTGTTTTTAATAAATGAATAACTGTTGTATGTTTGTTGCTACATCAAGTATTATCCAGATTTTTATGTTTTTTATATTTTAAAAAATCACTCTAAATAAACTACGTTTAAAACAAATGAGTGTGGTATAACACACCTATGAAGGGAGATAAACATATATTCAAATGGTAATATTCAATATTAGCTATAATTAATATTGGCTTTTGGCTTCATCTGTTCATATACCACTGACAATTGATCCTGATCTTTTCTTAAATTATGTCATGAATCAGAATTATATGAGCAAGTTTGGGGTTGTGAAATATTAAGTTAACAGAAGTTACAGTGCAGAATATTAAATTTGAAGTTTCAGACTTTCATAAAATTCATTTGGCTTTCATTAAAGCATTCATAGTTGCTTAACTATTTATGTCTACATTTGATTAGATGCTGGACTTTTTGATTACATTTAAAAATGAACTGTGATTTTACTATGACAAAATATTTTTTTTCAATTTTTGAAGCATTGAATAATGAAAAATAAGGATACCATTGAAAGCGTTTGTTCCCCTGAAAGGGCCAGTATGCTACTATAAACATGTTCAAAGCCCTTAATAATTTTAAATCATTTGTTGCAGAGCTAGTTAAGAATTTTATCTGCCCATTAAGGAGCTATTTTACAAGAAAAAATAAAAACATTGTAGAGATGTGAGTAATCTGATTAGCTATTGGGTACATTCAGTGTTTCTTGGTATCAGCTGAAGCCAAATTAAATTAGTCACTGGTGCATTTGTCCGTTGGAGCCAGAAAGTCTAACCTATTTAATTTTAAAATAATTTTCTCTGAGTAAATTATGGCAGTAGCCACTAAAGAAGTCATATTACTTCAGAATTAGCAAGATTTATTTCTTTTATAATGAAAAGATAATTATTGACTCTTAAAAGATGGAGCACACATAAGCTGAATATAAAAGGATGGAGGAATATTTAGCAAGCAAATGGAAAGCCAAAAAAAAAAAAAAAAAAAAAAAAAAACGGGGCTTACAATCTTAGTCTCTGTTAAAACAGACTTAAACCAACAAAGATCAAAAAAGCCAAAGAAGGATGTTACATAATGGTAAAGGCATCAATGCAACAAGAAGAGCTAACTATCCTGAATAAATATTCACCCAATACAGGAGCATGCAGATTCATAAAGCAAGTTCTTCGAGACCTACAAAGAAACTTAGACTCCCACACAGTAGTAGTGAGAGACTTTAACACCCACTATCAGTATTAGACAGATAGATCAATGAGACAAAAAATTAACAAGGATATTCAGGACTTGCATTCAGCTCTGGACCAAGTGGACATAATAGACATCTGCAGAACTCTCTACCCTAAATAAACAGAATATACATTCTTCTCAGCACCACATTGGACTTACTCTAAAATTGACCACATAATTGGAAATATAATTTTAATTATGTCAAGTATGCAGTTATAAAATATTATCTTAAAAGTAAATGAAAGGTACTCTGGATTAAAATTCCACCAGATGTAATGTTTACAAAGAAAATCAAGCCAAACACAACTAAAACTAAGAAGTTAGCAAATGAATAAAAATCTCATGTGCCATATTTTTGATTTAAGAGTATTCACCTTTTACTAGCATTTACTGAGAGCCTGCCTCATGATAGCTACTGCATGGGGAAAAACTGGCTCTTTGGCACTCAAAACTTTGGAAATTAGATATCATGATCTCAGATATTTTTAATGGGAAAATTGAGGTTGAGAACATTTGAGCAACTAGCCCGAAATGTCACTTTTAGGAGATGACACTCAGAAGAATCAGCTCCAGACATTCCTCTCTTCTAGACTTCTTATTTATCTTTTTCCATTACATGTGTTATGGAACCATGAATGTACTGTTGTCACGTCTTAAATGTTTTCAATCCTGTGGTCATACAAGCAATGAAGAAAGGCTGCTATACTGCTTTTTGTAAAACAAGTGAAATAATCTCTGGGGCTTGTAGAAACAGTCTTATGTGACAATATCTTATTACAAATGCACATTTCTTCAAATGTAAGACCCATGGGAAATTCAGCCTAAAAAACAATTACACATGAGGATTTGAGAGACACCAAGTACATCATCATACCCAAAATTTATGTGAAATGTGTATAGAAAGGAGTATATTATAGAAAGGCTACATATATATTTGGTTTAGTTTATATGTAAATATATATGTCTGTTCTCTATGTGTATGAATGTGTGTTTGAACTATTGTGTTATGTTTGTGGAAAACCACAAGTAAATATAGAAGTATTTAAAGAACACATCAATTTACAAATATATATTTTACAATGTTTTGCCTAGGGTGATAAAAGATGGGGCATTTGACGCTGTGCAAGTCACTGGCTAAAGACTGATGCAGAGTCTGTAGCCAAAACTTAGAGTCCAATAAGAAAGAGAAGACATGCTTACTCAAGTAACCAAAAACTGAGATTCTATTTGAGAAACTCAAAGATGTATTATCAGACTTTCTGTTATGTCTCTCTCCATTTGATTCTAAAATTTTCTACTCATGTCATATAATAGATCTGGCAAACTAAGAATTACTTTAAAAATTATTATGTTTCTCAGTGACTGTTCACCAAAATTATACCCAAGGCAACTGCATTTCTGCCTCCTTTATGAATCAGTAATATTGTATCTGAGTGTGTAAAATTGCACCTTAGTATTGAAGACTTATTATCTGATGGAAAAATCTTCAAATTATATGCATAAAAATTACCTTTCTTTCCAAATATTTCTTGAGTTTCTACTGATATAACTAAAGCATTTGAATTACTTTTTTTCTCTTTTTATACAGTGCAAACTAGAGTATCAGGCATGTGTCTCAGGAAAACAGATCTCGGTCAAATGTGAAGGACGTTGCCCATGTCCTTCAGTTAAGCCCACCAGTACAAGCAGAAATGCTAAGAGACGTAAGTCATAAAAATATATTAATGATTTTACATTTATTTTTCTCTATTAAAATGTTTTGCAATAAATGTTAAATACACAATGAAGTTTGTTTTATACATATGCCTAATATTATTACATTTCATTGAAAATATTTTTCCTTTAGCCTTAACTATTACAGCAAGAAATGATTTTCTGTAGATTTCCACTTATTTTGATCCTAATAACGAGATACTTCTTTCCTGTGTGCTTGCCATATATAGGATTCTTTAAATAATTGCATCTAAAACGTGTATTTTAGATCTATTTTTTTCTTTTAGAGCAGCAAACTGATTATTGATAAAATAGTAAGTAATTTAGTGGTTTGATCAGATCTGTAGCTGCCCAATTACTACTAACCATTTTAAATGAAATGTCTACTTCATGTATACTGTTTGTGTTTCATAATTTTCTATGGAATAATTTTATAGTTAAACTTACTTTTGATCAGATGAAGTCTTTAAATGATATTTATTTGTTTAATATCTAATAAAAATGAAATGCATTTAGCCAGCTATGTACTATAATATATAACTCGACTTCTCTTAAGATTATTTATTATACTTTACATTATTTATTCTATTTGAAATATTGTTTATGCCTTTTAAAAAAAGTCTCCATAGTGGCTAGCTTCAGTCCCCAGCATGTCTAGATAAAGAAGGAAGTGTGGAGAATAGATGCTTGTTTAAGTCAAAAATTACTTTAGAGCTTTAGAGCACTGTCATCAACAATTATCATATAATTTATTACTATTCCACCTTTCTAATCTAATAATTATTACTGGATACCCTTATTAATATGAATAAGTCATTTTTGCCCGTTTTCCCTGAAAAATATGAAGAATGGATATGCAAATAGAAAAAATGTACTGAGTATGAAATTTATTTCATATAAACTTATGTATTTCCTTGAGCATGATGTACTGAAATAAAATATAAATATTTTATTTCAGATATAACTTCTAAACCCCAGTTATGCCACTTACATTGGTCTTAACTCATTAAGTAATATTTAAGATGAAAAATCAAAATAAAACTAAATGTTATAGCATTGCCTTTAAGAGAGACTAGTTAATTTTACTATACAAAAATAAATTAGTTGATTTGAAAATTAAAGGTAAATTAGTGCTCAATCATTAGGCCATGTGAAGAATGATGCCAGCTGGTAGAAGAGAGATGCCACACTGCCTTCCAGAATTCCTCTCCTTTTTTTTCCATAAGTTTTTGGGACACAGGTGGTATTTGGTCACATGAGTAAGTTCATTAGTGGTGATTTATGAGATCCTGGAGCACCCATCACCTGAGCAGTATACACTGCACCGTATATGTTGTCCAGAGCCCTGTTCTTAAAGCCTCATCCTTGCTGACTCACCCCAGTCTAGGTTCAATTACCCAGTGTGGTTCCTTCTGTAATCCTCAGCCCTCGTCTCCCTCAATACATTCTCTTCAACACCGCCCAAATAAGGACTTTCACTACCACCTTGAATATGCTAATTTGCTCCAATTAATCCAAACACTAATTGTGATTTTTTTTTAACTGAAATGCTTTGATGTTTGTGTCTTTCTCATTCCCACTCCTGATGGAATACATTTTCTCAGTGAAATTGAAGACACAATTGACCACATTTATCTTTGAAAATCACTTCAAGAGGAAAACATATCCTACCAGGTTCAATATCCACATGCCAATTTTTTCACTGAAGACTATTAAGAACAACATTTGAGAAGTGGTCATAGTAAGTGTATATCTTTAGTGTATCACAGCCTTTCAATGAGATTTTACTTCAATGAGACTTTCTGCTTTTAGATTTCGTTTTGAATGAAAAGGCATTTTTGGTATAGTATTAATTTATCATAATCTTCCACAAGCTGCAAAAGGAACTCTATGTGCATTAAAGATGGAAGCTAACACATCTGAGAAGAGTATCTCTTGTGAATAAACAATAATTATTTTTCACATTACTCAAATGTTCTGTACAGTGTGTATATTAATATATCAAGAAGAAAACTTTTAAAAGTCATATCGTCAAGAGATAAAGATCATTTGTGTTCAATTGTGCATAGAAGGAGAGGCAAGAAGAATTTAATCCTGCTTGATGAATTGTCAGAGCAAAGCAAGTGCAGGATTTTGCTAGCTGCTATAGAAAAGCAGTACAGTGGCCGGGCACAGTGGCTCAAGCCTGTAATCCCAGCACTTTGGGAGGCTGAGACGGGTGGATCACGAGGTCGAGAGATCGAGACCATCCTGGTCAACATGGTGAAACCCCGTCTCTAGTAAAAAAAAAAAAAAAAAAAAAAGAAAAGCAGTACAGTCCATTGTGAACATCATTTTACACAGTGCCAAAGGCCGAGAGACAGGGGAAATGTAAGACTGAGTTTAGTATCATTTCTCATCTTTCAGCTGTTATTTACATTAGAAGCATGCTTTAGGTAGACTGTGCAGTGCAGGAAATTCTATTTAATATCATCCCTGTTCTAGAAAAAGTGAAAAATAAACTTTTTTAAAAGGAATTATTTCTTAAATCTTTCTGACTTCGTACATTTGAGATCAAATTGGCACGACGATATGTTTTCCTATGTTAAAAGCAGAATCTTTAAATCTACTTAAAATGCATTAACATTAATAAATATAGATTTTCTTCATAAAGTATGTATAAAGTTTTCTCCTATTTCCCTAATATACTTATTATACATAAATTCATCCAAATACATATGTTAAGTATTTTAAATAAATAAAAGCAGGTACATTTCTTGTTTTAACCTCTAGATTCTGACTTTACATAAATAGGTAAGCATACTCCCTTCAATTAGTAACTTAACTATACAGTTTTCTTCTTTTCTAACTCATCAATTCTGTATTACAAAAGCCGGTGCTCTCGGATCTCTTTAACGGATTCCCTCCTTTTATTCCATCTTTTTGTGTTCACTGATTATTTAACTGCAAATAAAAAGTATTATTTGGAAGGTAGATCAAAGTCATTCAAAGAATATTGAAAGCTGATTTTTAGAGGCCTCTCATATTTTTATGGCCAGAAAAATAAGAGATTCACACATGTAAGCATGATCTATTAATAGACCGTTTTTCTTAGATTTTATACATATATATATAATGCAATCCTAACAATTAGAAGGGACTTGCAAAACAAAAGGTCATTGAAAAATATTGTAGAAAACATTTATTTTGCAATAGGATTTTTCTGCCCTAGACAAATCTTACATTGTCTACACAGCAGTGGCACAAAAGCACAGTAAACTTTAGATATTGGGCTTATCTAAAGTGCTCCATTTGGTCATTCATTTCACTGGTTAGATTCAAAAGATCATTTTAATTGACATTTTGCATTTGTTTCAAATTTGGGTATTGCAAAGTTCGAAACACTTTTTTTATGATTATGGCTTTTATGGTTTTATATGTCAAACCTCATAAAATACAATTTATTTTAAATAATATCATTTTGAATACTTTAACCCCAACATGCATCTAAACACATACTCATCATGCACCTTGATAGCTTGAATTGTTGAGTTTCAGTGAAGCCTGCATAGAGAAGGAAAATAATCTGTGAGAGTTTAAATTAATTCAACCATTGGGGAAGACAGAGTAGCAATTTTTCAAGGATCTAGAAATAAAAATACCATTTGTATTCCAGCAATCCCATTATGGGGTATATACCCAAAGAATTATAAATCATTCTGTTATAAGGATACATGCACATGTATGTTCATTGTGGCACTGTTTACAATAGCAAAGACTTGGAGCCAACCCAAATGCCCATCAATAATATACTGGATAAAGAAAATGTGGCACATATACACCATGGAATACTATGCAGCCATAAAAAGGATGAGTTCATGTCTTTGCAGGGACATGGATGAATCTGGAAACCATCATTCTCAGCAAACTGACACAAGAACAAAAAAACAAACACCACATGTTCTCACTCATAAGTGGGTATTTAACAATGAAAACATGTGGACACAGGGAGGGGTCATTCATTTCACTGGTTAGATTCAAAAGATCATTTAATTGACATTACACCAGGGCCTTTTTGGGGGTAGGGGCCTAGGGGAGGGATAGTAGGGGGTGGGGGGATTGGTGAGGGATAACATTAGGAGAAATACCTAATGTAGGTGGTGAGGGAATGCAGGCAGCAAACCACCATGGCATGTGTATACCTATGTAACAATCCTGCAAGATCCACACATGTACCCTAGATCTTAAAGTATAATTTGAAAAAAGTAAGATGTGAAGCTAGGTGAAAGAGGAGCCCTCAAGGCCAGAATTGGCTTCAAGCCAACCATCCCTTTGTTCCAGGACACAGAGCAAATAGGTCATTGCTAGACATAAGAGCTTTGGAATTAATTTGAGTCAGATATATGAAAATGTTTATATTCTTGAGAAAAGAGTTAACATTTACAAAACTGTTTTTCTAAGTTTTACCTGAGAAACTTATTATGTTACTGAGACAAGTTTTTGTTCGTTTGTTTGAGGTTGGGGTGGGTGGTTATTTTAGAAACAAGGCAACCAAGTCACAACAAGGATAGTAGATGAAGAAATAACAGGAGAAACTGAATTGGAGTAATGTTACTGAGATGAAATTCACAAGGCTTGAAATCCAATTGGATGTGATGGACAAGGAAGAAGAATCCCTCAAAGATAATTCTGAATTTAGTAATCTGGGTGATTTATAGAATGCTAGCCAAAATGACCAGCTTATTTTTCTGGGCCTGTGGTTTATAATTCCTACTAATCTTCACCTGCATATTTTTTTCTTTTTTTTTTGAGACGGAGTTTTGCTGTTGTTGCCCAGGCTGGAGGGCAGTGGTGTGATCCTGGTTCCACCTCCCAGGGATCAAGGGATTCTCCTGCCTCAGCCTCCATAGTAGCTGGAATTACAGGCATGTGCCACCACACCTGGCCATTTTGTCTTTTTAGTAGAAACATGGTTTCTATATGTTGGTCAGGCTGGTCCCCAACTCCCAAT